AAACTTATCACACAAGACCGTAATGAGGCACATAGGATAATAATTCAGTTTAAACATCCCTTTCAAACAGGAATGACATACTTAAGAAAAGTACATGATTTACCCCACAGCTGTGAGTTTTTCCTATTTTTTTATGACAATTTCACAACTGTATCATATTCCTAAGCTACATTTATACACCTGTTGATGGAGATGAATTCCAATAAAATCGGTTTGTATCTCAGCAATAAAATCAGTATATTCCTCAACAATACAAACAGGTACCTCAACAACACAAATCAAGAACAAACGGACCTCTAAACCAACAGAGGGGACACCAGGTGCCATGGAGGGGTAAACATCCCCCATCAATCAGGCCATACCAATATCTAATATAGTTCGTCGGATTCGCCGCTTCTATTTTCAACAAATCCAAATTATAATATTATAAAAATAAAATCCGCGCGCGCGTCCAAAAATATCCGAATACAATTTTTTTTTCTCGACTTTTTCCACAAAACGCATAGAAGACTTGGAAATTTGTATGATAGAAGCGCGGGATTTACTTAGTTAGTGTGTACTTTATCCTAGTAGTCTGCGAAGTTTTGCAAGATGCCTGTGTAATTAGCATATCCCAACGCCTGGGGCTACCATTTTTGGGGTCGGGCTAGTTGTTTTCTGCAAGGAGGTAGCCCGTCGGGCTAGTAAAAATATAACTAGTCTACACACGCAATACATGACAAGCACAATCGGTATTTTCACTCGTTTTTGTTATAAAATTCCCAAACAGTTAAAATTTTCCAGACAATATGCTCCTACTGTCAATAAATCTCCATAATCTTATCTGTTTTGCAGTTCTATCTGACTTATTCACTTCCAAAAACGATCGTTTTTCCTGACCCAAATTTCCTCTGTTCCTCCATTTATGGTAAATACATGCAGATATCTCGTTAAATTATTTACGATCACCCAATCAACTGAAAGATAAGTGTTTTGTGACTCATATAAAATATATTTCCAGTGTATTTAATGATTTAAGATGAAAACAAAATGAATTTGATTTCATTCTAAATGAGTGCAATGATCAGAAAAAAGGAAGATAATTTATTTAAATTATTAATTTTAATTTTTTTTTCATAATAATTCATGCATGATTAATATTGATACTGGGAACTTTTAACTTTAATTTTAAAAATAATGACCTCAGCACCCCATCGTCTCAAGCCACGGTCTGGAGTCCGCATATAGCTCTCTCCTACCCGTGGCTGCTTGATCACAAAAAGTGTCGTAATCTTGAATATTTACGCCTCTCTATTGTGACGTCATATTCAGTCAGTGGCAAGTTTTGTTTCCATCGCAATTGAAATCAACAACTGACGTCAACAGTATACAAGAAATCTTTCCTTTACTGCGATTGGATATTGAAAGGTCGCGATAAAGTTCATCTTCCGACTATGCTTTACTCGCATTGGTCAAAATTTTAATGAGCTACGAAGAATTCTCTCCTCGTTCAACCACGGCCAGAATAACTATTGGCCGTGGTTTGCGACGATGTCAGCACCCTGACTTTTTCAGCAATTAATTTCTTCTCAACATTAGTATTCATTTTAATTTTTGCCCCTCTATGTGGGTTAGTAACTTTTTACTTGGGGCAAGTAAGTTGAAAGCTGCCACTAGCCCGTGGGAAAGTACTTTATTTTTTTTTTCAATTGCACACCCCTGTGTACTCTAGTTAAAAACACTGAGTACAAAATATAATAGAAAAAAGAGAACTTAAAAATTTTTGCCACTAATATTATTTATATTCGCTCGCCTCACAATTTTGAAACCTGAAATGAAAAATAATATTTGTGAAATATTTTCGCTCGCTCGCCTCACTTTTTATTTTTGAAAATCCGAAGAACTATGTTACAAATTGGTGTGGCCTCAGTCACATATGGTGTGTACTTCTTGTCATGACTGGGAGAGGAAAGATCTGCAGACAATTCAGGGTGTACATAATGGTCTAACATTTAGTATGACTCAAGAATGTTCAATATTTCACTCAATGATGCATTGTCACTGTACATGTATTGACCATTCATGGTTAGTGTAGTAAGGTTACCATTAATGTCTTATTATTTTCATAAGATATAGATATGTAAGACACAGAGGCATTTTTTTTAAAGTTCACTTGGACATATTGAGTTGAAATATGAATAGAAGTAACTATTGTTAATTGATAATGTGTTGTCAATATTTCCAAGCCTCAAGTTGAAGGCCACAGCCACTGTTTTCTTCTTCTCTTGTGTAAGGTTATAAATAGTTCTATAGGTCAGTAAGCAGTTTCTCTAAAACCATCCCTATAACACTGTAGTACAAGACCATGTACTGGCATTGTTTCCCCATCTCACAGGTAATAGCATGGAGTCTGCGTTTTTGGAATACATCTCAAGTGATATAAACATAATGGAGTCACAAATCAATTATCCATCAAACCTTGTGGAATTCTTCGTTTAGCCACCTGGAGCTTTCCATAAAAACTCCCACTTCTTCATTCATTTCTTTTCCATCAATACATATCTATTTATACATATGTATAGGTAGTCGTTCCATTTCTGAGACCCATCAGATGTGAATGGCTTGGAATAAAGCTACAGTTCAGTCTCCCCCTCAGGTCTGTGTTTACTCGGCTTCTAAGACTATATACAGCTATCATCCTATTCATGTTTGCTAGTAAACGTTTTTGCTTTCCATTTTGCTTTTTGGGACTATCTCTTAAATATGATGTAAATAGCACACTGTCTGCAGTGCTGTACCATTTAACACAGATCTCCATTCCCTGGCATTATCTTGACACCCATCTTGGCAAACCACATAGAAAGCCTGATCATTTGTTTGGGAATGGATATATAGCTCTCTTTACCTTTGTAACATCAAAACCCTCTGTATTCAATATATGCCTACAGCCTTGGAGAGCAAGAGTGTTAAATTTAACTGACCAATATAATACCCTGGAGCACCCAATGTGTTGTGTAGCAATTATAGTATTATATATATAACAGTAAACAACTGTCTCTCGCCAGCTGTACTGGTCAATGACGACCTAAATTAAATTATGCCCGGTAAAGTATCGGAGCACTTTACTGCAGTTTTGTTCCTGGGTTTTACCTGTGCCTGTTCTTGACCATTGCATATATACCTGAGATTAACCAGATGCCAAAAACCTGTCATACATCATTGAGGGAACCATTACATATCTATCTACCACCCCCTCCATATCATGCAGGGAATCGGCTAATCACAAGAAACTCGTGAATTTTACACAATATATGTGTTTACATTTTCCACGATTACTGCAAAAATGCTTTCAGGACATTCCAATGTATACCAAAAACATATTTTATCTTGTGTCAGTTTTAATATAACACGTTTCTCAATCCATGCCAGATCTCATGTTTGATCCCCTATAATGCACTACATGTACTTGAGTGGTTCTACCTTTGATCTTGAATTCACGCCTTGGATTACTGTTGTACCAAGTCCCCCCAGATTCTGAGCACTTCCAGTCATGTTCAACAACTCTAGGCACCAGGTCTTTAATTTATTCACAACTTAATTTACTGTGTTACTCTTGTGTAAATGTACATTACAAAGCACTTAAATGACTCCTTCACTTCCCAAGTGTCTGCATTACTTGTAAACGAGGGATAAAATCTACCAGGCTACAGGAGAAATGGAGAGTTGGCTGTCATTGTTAAAATGGATTCTCATTTATACGGAGCTTGCAGTACCTGACAAAGCCATTACAAATGGTGGGTAAAGTGAGCACATGTTACTAATGTATTGATAAAGGGTGCACGTTGAGTGGGAAGCTGACGGATCAATAGTCCCCAACTACTACCTCTGGTGACCTGCCTCAGTTTATCATACCAGCTCTCCTGCTCCTACAATCAATATATATTTCTAATAAATGTGCAGGGGACACATATCTGTAGATTCGTGCAGAGAGAGAGTAGATACGTTCCCCAAGAGAATGCTCCTGTGCTTTTGGAATCATTTCATCAACACAAATTACTCAGGCTCTCTATCTGCCTGTTCTGATGAATTTGGGGATTTAGTTTCAAATTGAAAGATTTGCAAAACTGGTCTAATGGTACAGAAGAAATTGAACACTGTGCATGTTTACATTGGTGCATCTGCTCTGCAATTTTCTCATTCCATAGGTCAATCATTTCCAATTTTTTTCTTTCCCTCATGGATCCAACCCAATTTTTTTTTTCACTTAAGATAACTTTCTTGTATTCAAGCTAAGTTTATCTTTTTTTGAAATAACAAAATAATGACATTTTAAATTTTGTACTTTTAAAAACATTTACTAAACGGAGAGGTTGCATTCAGTCTTCGTCAATTATTTAATTACTACACAGTCTATGGAATCAGTTATTTCATTATTATGAACATTTCTTCTACTTCAGGGACAGCTTTACATCTGATCTTTGACAAAGTTAGACATGGATACACATTCAGAATCCTCACTGCTTGTGAAAGTGAAAGCATGCCTTTAATCTGATCTTTTCTGGGGAAGTGCTGTATATTCTCTGCATCCACTTATAAATTATGTACTTCCTGTAGTGCCTTGCTCTATCATCATTTCCAGGAAGATGACACCATCTTTAGAGCAGGTACCTCTATCATTGCGATTACGTAAAAAAAAAAAAATCCCTAACCCAGAGTTTATAATTTCACTGAGTGAAATAATTAAACATTTAAGGAAATCTGCATATCTGGTGTCAAAAATTATGATTTTTGTCACATAAAAAATCAAAAAAAATTCTTTTTTTTTAACCCTTATTCATAAAGGGAATTTGTTTTCTTCCTTGTATCTCTGTTTTATACTTTTTTAGGGTAAATTGTTATGTGAGCTGGAAAGGCTATGAACTTAACAGTTCACCTTAGAACCTACCTCCTCGTATGAGTAAACCTTGAAACCAGGACCTCCTCGAAAGGTCATGAACTGAACAGTAAACCAAGAAACCTACCTCCTCGTAAAACTTCAACTGGGGGACAGGTTCATCACAGACGTTTTCACAGAAGTCCTTAAAGAGCAAATAACCTGAAAAATAACACAAAAATCAATAAATATTTGTGATATTTTACGATATCAAAAGGATGAAGCCGTACATTTTACGTGGCTTATTCTGGTCTTATCGGTCTATGTGATCAGGGACCAGTGCATTTGGTCTAAGCTGCAGGGAGATTATTGTTCCAATTGTAAATTATTGATGAACTTATACATTGTAATTTACTCTGATAATCGTAACAATCAATGGATGAGATTTTCAGCAGAGATATTTTAAAAAAAGATGTATCCTGAAACAGAGTAAATGTTTTTAATAATATCACGGCAGAGTTTACGGACACTAACCCCAGCTGTGCATTATTGTCAACATTCAAAATAACTTGTGACAGGTTTTTTTGCTCTCTCTCAAATGAACAATTGTTAACAATAAACATATAAGCTTGTTTTTATTAATAAATTGGAACTTTACATAAAACAGGAGTTTCTATAATTGTTTTCTTGTTTGAATGACAACTGCAGTTTGTTTTTTCATGAAGTAATACACCAGCATGGACATTAACTCCTATAATAAATTTATTTACACAACTAAACACATTTCAAATGTGCTAAGAATTAGATATACCCTACAACTTACTTTGGGACCAAAATAGCCAACTATAAATAACAATAAACACTGTCAAGATAATATAGCATTGGGATTCAAAAAAATCACACTGAAACTTTCTATAAATCCCAAATTCCACTTAACTAAATTATTATTCAGTATTCTCTTGAACCCTTGTCAGCATTGCTAGAGCAATCGAGTATCAGTCTTGTAGACAAACTGCACATACAATACTCATAAAAAGATATATAGCACCCTATTCTATTTTACTTTACTGTCAACTTGTTTGAGCGATATACTCATTTCTTTAATAAATAAGCTTTAATAGTAGTATTCTTCCTGTAGGCAAGTTGAAATTCATGTTTATTTTATCTCCTTAGTTAGACACACACCAGGAAAACATTTGGTTAAAAATTAAAACAGCCTTCAGCCCTGTTAAGAAATGGGATTTTTAAAAGGGCTACTTCAGTATATAAATATATGCATCTCAATATCTTATCTACCATAGAAATTCTTAAAGCATGACAATAAAATTATATACCACTGGTGTAACCTACATTTTAGTTTCAGAGAATGCAATCACCCTTGAGCTTTCCAGGGAATGCGTTCACCCAGCACATTTTACTGACCAACATAAATATCCTCCCACACTCAATCTATGAGTAAGCCACCCCCCGCCCCCACCTCACTAATATGTGTACACTCTTTATCATTTTATTGATCCATAGGCATAAAGTCACCAAACCCTGCATGATAAAAGAATGAAATAAATTAATATGCACTGTGCAGCAGATACATCTACATCAACTGATATTTAAAGTTATTGAAGTAAATAGTGTTTCAATCCCCCCCCCCCCCCCAACGCACCCTCCCTCGTCCCTAATTATGCAAAGAAAAACTTCCAGGTATGTCTGAAAAATATGGTTTTGTCTTATCAAAATTCTCCATTTGTGGCCTTTACCTTTAACAATACTGTTCAGCAACATCAGTTACCTATTGGTTAACCCTGTAGATGCTTTATAAAAAGCAAAAACATTACTTCACCTATACTAATCAGCAATCATATTAATTAACAGTAAAGTGAAATGATCATTAAAGATGATGTTTACTCGGCAAATATGAGGCCATTATCACTGAATTCTCTCGTCTACACACACAGAAATCAATACCCATAGCAAGATTACCACTAGATCTACTGACTTGCCCATTTAGATGCATGCATTCATTAAAATCTATTTTTCTTTTGTGACAAAGAAAAATTGTTGAACGCTCCTTGGTACAAGTGCATTGCTTTATAGTGCAAATTTTATGCACAAACAGTAAAAGTACACAATGTTTACATCTCAGAATTTCCAAAAGATGTGTGTCACTTAATTAACTCCTATCCTTCATTAATTTCTTTGAACTTTCTTTCAAAACATTTTTAAAAAACATCATTGTTGTTTTATGTAAATGGGACGAGGGGGTTCTAGGGCGTTTTGTGGTTATTAGATTTCCCTTCGTCTGTCAGTATAGTGTGTATATCATGTGATACACAATGAACACTTCCGTATCGTATCCCTACACTCACCCAATTTCTGTCCAAAGATTTTGTCGAATGTCACTTCACCCATTTTTGTGAGGTGTTTGTGCATCACGCTCCGGACGCTGAAATATAAATTGTCATCACATTTATTTCTATATTGACTTTTATCATTGCGAGAAAACCCCTTCGGGAACCCACATTGTCTCGGCGATACTGATCAATCAAAAAGGACCTTATATCGACAAAGCATTATATGACCATTTAACATTTGGTACCTAGGGTCGGGTAAAATAATTTTCTTGCTTGCACGGGCAGCTGGAGTCGACTTGCTCTTCTCCATCGCCATCAAGTAACTGACATCGGCCAGGACCGCTTCTAAATCCGCCATTTTGTCTAAATTCGATTCTACCTTCCCAAAACAAAATCGTCTAGGCGGATTGTATTTTCTTCCTCAACCTTATTTAACACTCCACACTCACAGATAATTCATCCCGTGTATGTGTACGGTCATTCTGTCTCAGAAATTCACACATATCTCCCAAAATCATCCGCTGAATCCAAGCTTTTCACCGTGCATATCAAATGAGTCCATACTCTGCAGTGTAAATATTAATTAGTTCGGCAGTGCTGACTGGTTGGTGAGATGTATATTACGAGCTTTATCATTGGCTAAAATCGGACATAGAACGATCAATACACCAGACTGCAATATTTCTTTCTGAGGAAAAAAGCAAAAAAGTTTAAAGAAAATTTCACATTTTATTATCACAATATTTTAAAATAATTGTGTTTTTTTCAGACACTAGAGTAACATTTTTTTCTTTGCACGATATATAATTGTATAAAATAATCCGAGTAAAATAAATTATTGGTTTTTTTTTTGGTTTTTGTTTTGTTTTTGTTTTTTTAAAAACACACCAAGATTTAGTTATTATCCATTTTATTTTCATAAAAAATATAAATAATGACAAAAAGGACATGATTTATTTCTCTAATGACAAATTCATGTCAAAGAAAAAAATCAATCCTGGTGCAACATCAGTTTGTTAAATTCATGAATATTAATGCGATAAAAAGAAATTTAAAAAAAGAAGTAGGGTTTTTGTTTACTGATTTTTATTTGAAAATTATTTGTCTTATGACATTTCCTTTGAATTTTTTTTTCTCTTCGTTAAAATGAAAAAAAAATCACAGACTTCTGAAAAATGAAAAAAAATCACAGACTTCTGTTTTCTAAGCTGTTTTGAAAAGTAAATTTTACTAGTACACCAAAATCTGGAAAATCATATGCTAGTATTAGTGGTGCCACGTCGTGTGACCTTTTTTTACTTTTCAGAAAAAAATATTACATAAAAATGCGAAACAAGATAACAATAAAAAATAAATTTACCGGCAACTTATCATGCAGAATCAGTTTAAGGGGGGGTATGTTAGCTACAATATACACCTCTCAGAATTCATTAGATTCACTGGCGGATTTAGAGGGGGGGGTAGGGGGCCTGCCCACTTCTGTGTCCAAAATATTCATTAAATTTAATCAATTTTTTTTTTTGGTGTGGCTGTGCGCTTCTACCCCGGCCACAAACTGGTCGAGTCCCCCCTTTTTTTTTTCAAGATTCCTAGATCCACAACTAGCTAAGAATTTTCCGGAATTTGGATATTGCTGAGTTTTTCTAAGTGCATTGACTTTCCAGTCATACAACGATATTAGAAAAATCTTTTTTTCCAATTTTTTAGTGTTTGTCCGGGCATTTCATACAAAACAAACAGAAAATATCTCGAATATGGCTACGTAACAAATTAAACTTATAAAGTGTAAAAAAAAAAAAGAGAGAGAGAACAAGAGGGTCGAATACGCAGATCGAAATTGTCGAAAATTCATATATATACCTGGTATAGCTTCCGGGGGCTTCGCCTCCAAGGCCCCACCAGGGCTTCGCCCTGGACCCATTGGCGGCCTCAAGGCGACCCCCATTTTGCAAAACCCCATGCCTAATCGATCATCCACATGTAAAGTACATTGGCTATGCCCATGCGCTACTCTCAAACCTTTCCGGGTTAGATAGGCCTACCCTTGGCTAGCGAACATGAAATGTGTTTTGCTTCAAAATGAAATGGCTTTGAGTTGTATCTGTAAGTACTTCAATTTCAATACATAAAATATGAAAATTTATATGATTTGAAAAAGGAAAATGGACAGGGAAAAGGGGTCATATGCGTAGGAACTGGGGGGACATATGCCAGTTTTGAATATTTTTAATATTCCTAACAACCAGATTGAATTTGAATTACCATATCTATATTGGATTCCCAAACTTCATAAAAATCCTTACAAACAAAGACATAGAGCGGGTTACAGTGTTCTACCAAGCCTCTTAATTTGCTCCCAACTGAAATATTAACAGTATTGGTTAAACACTGTCACGTGTAAGGCTGTGCGACTATACCCGGTCAGTGGTGTAAATCAGATGTGGATTCTTAAAAATTCCAAGGAACTTTTCGAAAATTTGAAATCACAAAATTTTACCAAAATCTACGAAAGCCCAATGAGCTTAATTTTGTATGTTAAAAGAATTTAAATTTTCGCGTTATAACGCGAAACTTTCGCGAATAAACGCGTGACTTTCGCGTTATAACGCGAAACTTTCGCGACATAACGATTAACTTTCGCGAATAAACACGAAACCTTCACGAATAAACGCGAATCTTTCGCGATATAACGCGTAACTTTTGCGAAAGTTTTGCTGTGTGACCAAGACAGTTGCATAAGTCTTAACTTTCTTTTTATTTTGTAACATAATTTATTCATTACAAAGAAAAGCAAAAGGCCACTTTGATCTTGGAACATCACGAGATACAATTTTAAATTTGTTGCTATTGAATCCATATTACCGTCATGCACATTTGTCTTTCTCAACGCTTGTCAAACCATTCAAAGTTAATTCGAGTTTTTCAAAAGTTATACTTCATGATTATGAATTTCGGGAAAATATCAAGCCTTTCAGACGTCTTTTTTATACACTCTCAAGAGAATTTGAAATAAAATCGTAAAAAGATTTTAAAAGATCTCAAAAAATTTACAAAATAAGGTGTCAATTGTGTCCCACCAGTGAAAATTGGATGAAAGATTTTCATTTGTCTCCGTTGGACTCACTGTAGAAATACGACGTCGTATTTTGAGGTTGCGCAACGTGGTCATGCCATTGCTTACGAAAACATTGACAATTAATTCAAAGTGTAAAAACGTTGCTGTATACATGTAACTTAATAGTTTTGATTTATAGCGCTAGTCCACGAACTTTTCAATATAACCCTTTGGATATATAAATATTGGAGACTGTCTCCATGGATAGACATCTGCTTTTCAGGTCTTGCAGTACAGTTCCTCTCCAAGTCTCCTTAGGCCGGCCCCTGTTTCTTTTACCCTGGGGTGTCCATCTAAGGGCATGCCGCAATCCTGGGCAGTGAGTTGGGAGGCATGCGCAGGACATGACCAAGCCATCGCCAGTGTTACTATACTATACCATACTATATACATACAATTTCGCGAAATAACGCGAAAGTTAAGCGTTATAGTTTCGCGTTATACCGCGAAAGTTTCTCGTTATAACAGCTGTATAACTTTTGGAAAATTTTATTTTTTTAACCTACGAAAATGGGCCCAATGGGTTTTTCGTAAAAATCAATATAATTAAAACTTACGAATTTTCAACTTTACATGTAACCATTCCCCATGATAAATTAAAGTCCAGGATTTTTGATACCACGGACAGGCCACTTTTTGGCCATCAACCGACATTTAGATATATCGACGACGTTTTGTCAATTAACAATTGTTATTCCCATTCTTATGTCGATACGATATATCCCGGTGACCTTGAAATAAAAGATACCACAGGGTTTGACACGTTTGTTTTAAATATTTAGATGCTTAACTTGAAAAAGACGTTAATGGTAATCGAACAAGATTTATGACAAACAAGAGGGCTGCACTTAAACTTTCCAATCGTCAAATTCCCTTACTTATGCAGTAATATACCTTCATCACCTGCATACGGGATTTATATTTCACAGTTAATTCGATACGCAAGAACATGCTCTACGTATGAACAATTTCTAAAACGACAAAAATTATTGACAAACAAGTTGATGAAACAAAAAATCAGCAATCTCGTTTAAAGTCATCATTTCGTAAGTTATTTGGTCGATACAATGGCCTTGTCGGCAAATACAATTTATCATTGATTTAAATGCTGACTGACTTTTTTCATGCTAATTGTTAGGCCATTATTTACACAATGTATGACTGACAAGGAGCACACGGCAGGTGTGACTGGTCAGGGATGATCATTCCTCCATGGCACCTGATCCCATGATGTTTTGGAGATCCGTGTTTGCTCTGCTCCGATTTTGTATTGTTTAATGGATTTTTGTGTTTGAATACGTACTGTTCGTTATCTAAATATGTTTCATTTGAAGACAACCCTCCCTTTTTTTTGCTTGCAAACATTTTTGTTCAGGTTGAACCATTTCAAAAATGACACTCTATGTTAAGTTATTTAAACATCTGATTAGATATATTTAAAAAATATTTACAACATCACTCTTATTAACTGGTTTACTTAACAATTTATTTTAAAAAAGAGAAGGGGTTGCAAACAATCCGGAATCAATAGGAACGACGTAATTTTTTTTTTGTTTAGCGAGCTTTATCAATTTCCGTGTAAATTTTAGCAGCTGAGCCTGATTGCATAATGGAAATCTACCAGCGTATATTGCGTGAGATGATTTCAAGGGGGGAAAGGGATGGCATTTCAAATTGGTCTCTTTGACGTGAAGGGATTGGAAAACTTTGAACAGGTATGATGTTGTGTTTTTTTTTTAAAAATATTAGATGCAAACATGGACATGTGACATATGTTTGTCATGTTCTAAATTTTGAATATATATCGGGTGGTGAGTAAATAAAAAAATCGCTGTACAATCATTGTCCTTTTCCTGATTTTTTTTCCTTTAAATAATATATTGTGACTTTTTAATGACGACCAATGCATATACATTTGGTTGCCAGAGTTGTATTTGTGACCTCTATGTAATGGTTTTTCCTCAGACAAAGCTTTCATTTTCTGAAGAGTTCACAGCCAGTATGCATTATAATTTGATATTTTAGTCCTTGACCATAGCAGTAACATAATTATTGTCAAAGACTAAAGTATAAAACCATTACACTACAGTTCTGCAGCTAGACATACAGTAGATTCTCTGATTTTTTTTGTTTGGGGGGAGGGGGGGGGGTCAGGGGTTAAGCATTTTGGGCATGAAATGTTATCTAATAAAATGTTTTTTTTCACTTCTGTTTTAGTAGTATAAATGTTTAAATCCAAATTTTACCTGAAAAGTACAACTAAAAACATTTTGATTTCAGCAACTTACTCCTTTGCTTTAACATTGGATTACATGTATGTTGATTCTTGAAGATTTTCCAAAAAAATTAAGGTTTTGACCTCAAATTTCAAAATTCTTTTAAGAGAGCTACCTCAATCATCCTGCACATACTTATCCAACCCATACAACAATCCTGAGCCTGCAATTCAAGCAGGGCTTCAAGCCAGTAGCTACACTGATTAAAACAGTCATGCTTTTGATATGAATAAAATGCTCATGAATAAAAAATAATATAAACAAAACTTAAATTTCTTTTAATCTGATGTAAAGTACTGAAAAGATTTATCCAAAACAGAGAACTGGGTACATAATTTAATTTGGATCACTCTATTTTTTTTTTGATTTTGTTGAGCAGTCAAACTATGATGCACATGTATTATTTATTCTCAAGCCCACAACACCAACTTCTTGACAGTGAGTAGTTGGATGAAATGGGGATCATTGTTTTAAGTCTATATCTGAACAACTTTTGTATGAATGAAATTATGAAATTGCAAAATCCAAAACCAAAAGGTTTTTGCTAGCATTGTGTGTGTTTTGGTATTTGCTGCTGAACAGTTATTTGAATAGTACAATGAGAGCAGGAATTCACATTGTAAATATTTTGATACAAGGAATCTGATGATGTACCAGGACTAATTATTAGGTAGATTTCCACGGTAAAATAATGAATGGTTGTTTTTTTTACTGCATGTATCTGATGTGCATTTATTTTATTTGTTTTGTTAATAGTGTTATACATGACAAGCAGCCATGACTGACAAACAAGGCAGTGACAAGCTGACAAGGGTCGTGGTAAACGTGGAGGAAATATCTCCCGAAGAAAAAGTAGAGAGCAATGGTGTGGATCTTTCTGCTTCACACCAGGGGCAAAGTGTTGGGAAAAGGTCATCAATATGGGAGACTGCTAAAAATAAAATCAGAATTACCCCCAAAGATGCCACACCAGTGAACTGGAAAATGATAGGACTAGTCTTCGTATCAATGGTAAAACAAAAGTTCTTCAGAAGATTTATCTTTAGGCCTAGAAAAAAAATATGTTTGTTTCTTGGATCATACATTCACAATTTATTTTGTGCCAACCCTAAATATTAATTTTAATGAATTTTCCCACTGATTTGCAAGATTTCAACCAGGGAATTATAGCCTCCAACTTTGCATTGAATGCTTTGATTGTAAGATAGAAAGAAGTTTGGGTACCTTTCTATTATAAGTTAAGTCACAGTAATGCTTGATAAACACCATTTCTTTTGTCATTAATGTTACTTCTATGCACGTTTTGATTAAAGAAGCAAAAAAATTTTTTTCAAAAAAAAAAATTGCCTACCTACCTACCCTATATTTTTTCAGACTGAAAGCGGAAACAAACATATTTTTTTTCTAGGCCTTATCAACATTTTGTATCTCTTTTTAGATGGAGACAACATATTTTACTTTTTATGCCCCCATAAACGAAGTTTTGGGGGTATATAGTTTTTGTCGTGATCTTAAGTTTAAAACTGTTTTGCATAACTTTTGATTTAGTGGAGGTATGACTTTCATATTTCATATGTGTATTCCTTGTGACAAGACCTTTCTTTGGGTTCCACCAAATTTGACCTTTTGACCTTGGAGTTTGACCCACTTTAACATGAAAATTTTAAACTTTTACTTTGGCCATATCTTTTGAACAATAGATACCAGGACATTTATACTTCACATATGCAATGTTTGTTGAAAGACCTTTCATTGCATTGGATACCAACAACCTTGACCCTTTGACCTTGACCTAGTAGATTTTCGTACTTGTGAAAAAACTTTAACCTTGGCCATAACTTTTGAACGGTAAGGGATAGGGCTTTCATACTTCATATACGTAATCCTTGTGAGAAGATCCTTCATTGGATACCAAGAACTTTGACCCTTTGACCCTGACCTTTGAGATTGACCTACTTTAAAAAGGCAAACCTTGACCATAATTTTTAAAGAGTTAGGCCAGTGCTTTCATACTTTACATATTTGATCCTTATGACAAGACCTTTCATTTGATAACAAGCACTTTGACCCTTTGACCTTGACCTTGGAGTTTGACCTACTTTTTAAAAAAATTGAGTTATTGGCCATAACTTCTGAACGGTTATGGCTAGGGCTTTCATGCTCTACTTAAGTATTGCAAGACCTTTGATGATTTGATACTAATTACATTGACCTTTTAACCTTGACCTTGGAGATTTTTGTACTTATTTAAAAACTTTAACATTGGCCTACTTTCAAATTTCACAATTGTTTTCCAGTGAGAATACCCTACTTTTGGTACCAATTAATTAAATTTGCATTTATGAAAAGCATAATCTTTGCTATGTTGCCATACGGGGGCTTCAGTGTTTCACAAACACATCTTGTTTTAGCTTGAAAATGTTTCAATCATTAATTTTCTATGAAATGACCACCTGGAAAACAAAACCTGATTATGTTTAATTGCAGTCTTTAAAGCATTGAAAGGACTTTATAAAACAAGATTTATTTTCTGCATCTTTTATTTCAGTTTACAAGTTCCATCAGTCTTACTTTTCTGTTCCCTTTCCTGCCAGAGATGATATTGGTAAGAAACATATTTTTTACTCCAAAACCAGTGGATTAATATATTGGTTTCAAAATGATACCTGAAGTACAAATTGTTTCCATTCTCTCAAACAGTTCTTTGGTTACCAAGAGACAGACAAGGGTTACTATGCAGGGTTGGTGGCTTCCATGGTGTTTGCCGGCAGAGCAATGGGAAGGTAAAACCTATAACTCCAACTGTAATTGTTACAGTATCTACTGTAGATCACTATATTTTCACGACACCTTATTTTCGCGAGATAATCATTGACTCTTGATTAGCGAGACAAAATTTTCACGAATTGTGGTTATTGCTTTATATACAGTGTAATCCTAAGGAATACTATTATACGCGAGAATTAAATTTTTGCGAGCACAATGTCTCGCATAATTACGTGAAAATAAAGTTCTTGCGAATAAAAAGTGATTTACAGTATATCAACAATTCAAATAAATTGACTGGAAAAGAAACATTTTATTTCTATATATTTCAGTTTTTTCTGGGGTTGGTTGTCTGATAAAATGGGGCGGAGACCAGTCATGCTAATAACCATATTTCTGAATGGCTTTTTCTGCTTGATGTTTGGATTCACCTTTAACCTTCCTATGGCTCTTGTCACCAGGTTTTTAGCCGGTTTAGTCAATGGTAAGATTTTTCCCCACAACATATTTATGCCCCCCTTCAAAGAAGGGATTAATATTGCTTTGCTACATCAATGTCGGTCTTTAAAATATTTCCGTTCATTTTCTTCACAACCGTTGCATACTGAAATGAAATTTGGTATACAGATTTATCAGATGAATATCTAGGTCAAGTTCTGTTTTGGATACGATCGCACCATTTTTTACAGAGTTATGCCCCTTGGACTTAGAAAAATTTCTATTATTTGCAGTTTCCATTTATTTTCTTCACGACCGTTGCATATACTGAAATGAAATTTAGTATACAGATTTATCAGATAAATATCTAGGTCAAGTTGTGTTTTATGACATTTTATCGTGCCATTTTTTACAGAATGCCCCTTGGACTTAGAAAAATTCCAGTTATTTGCAGTTTCCTTTGATTTTCTTCGCAGAGGTTGCACATAATGAAATGAAATTTAGTATACAGATTTATCAAATAAATATCTAGGTCAAGTTGTGTTTTGGGTACGACCGTGCCATTTTTTTACAGAGTTATGCCCCTTGGACTTAGAAAAATTCCTATTATTTGCAGTTTCCGTTCATTTTCTTTGCAAAAGCAATACTGAAATGAAATTTAGTATACAGATTTTTCAGATGAATATCTAAGTCAAGTTCTGTTTTTGGTACAATCGCACCATTTTTGACAGAGTTATGCCCCTTTGGACTTGGAAAAATTCTAATTTGGGGGGAAGGGGGGCATAAGTGTTTCACAAACATCTCTTGTTTAACTTAACCTTTGTTTCCTCTTACAGAAGATATTGCATATGGTTTTACATTTATCTTTGTTTTGCTTGTGTAAGGAAGCATTTGTCAATTGGTTTATTTTTAGTTGTTTAATGTTCTATATAAATTTTAAAGCACAATACTAGTACTAATTGTATAGCCTATCAGGTTCACGATCTTTTTGATAACCCCATATATATTTCCAAAACATTTTACATTTACAGATGCTCAGTAATAGTAATATGTACATGTATTGACTTCTACATCAGCTTTTCTTTTTAGGCACAGTCGGTGTTTCTAAGTCAATCCTGTATGAGATTTCTGATGACACAAATCAAGCCATTGGCATGTCCATAATTTCCATGTCTTGGGGAGCAGGGATAATACTGGGGCCAGCTGTCGGGGGTAAGAGTGATAAACAATTAATCATGTTTTCATACATGTATGCATGTTGGACAATGGTTTTTATGGAATTTTCCCTGAAAATTTATATATATGTACACATGTATTTTTGAATATAATTTGAGTGAACAAATACAATTTTTTTTACCAAGAATGGGAGAAAAATTTCTCAATGTTTTGTAGCATTTACCAAAATTAGCAATAGAACACAAAGTCTGTCATAAAAATATTATGATTTTTAGGTCTATTAGCTACACCAGCCAAGAGATACCCCTCTGTGTTCCCCTCAGATGGACTGTTTGGTCAGTTCCCCTACCTGCTCCCCAGTCTGATTGTAGCATGTGCCTGTTTTCTGGGTTTTGTTGTTGACCTTATAGCTTTACCAGAAACCAGGAACAAAAAGTAAGATAATTTGAAAGATTTATGATTTTATATTAGAAGCATTATTTTTTATGTTAACATGTGTATTGGTATACCCATCACTTTTTTTTCTAGTAGACAAAAAATGTCAGATGCTAAAATTAAGACTAAATTTCTACATATAACACAACAATACAGTAAACCATCTTTTTCATTTGCAATATACTGCATGTTTTGGAACTTATTTCACTACATTGTGAAAATTAAATAACCTACATCCACTTGTGAATATTCATTAACCTACTACATTTCACTTGTGAATATTCATTAACCTATTACAGTCTAACCTTGATATCTCAGACTCGAATGAATGGGAACAGGACAACTTTTTGAAGTCTGAAGTTTCGAAATATTGAGACTAAACTACATTAAGAAAATAGTGGTTGGGACTTTCAAATCACTGTGACATATCCATACAAGTTATCGAGATACAGAATTTCAACTGTATTAAATTATTTTTTTTTTAATCTTTCTGTAGTCACAAAAATTTACAATGGCAGATGAAGTTCAAACTGAAAAACTACATAAAAGTTGTCATGAATAATCATTGTTTAACAGAATATTTAATTATTTAAAATTCATTTACAGACAAGAGGAATTAGTTGTTGAAATTGAGGAAGATAATGAAGAACTTCAGAAATTGGCTCCATTCACACAGAAGGACTCCAGCAAGACGGACAAGATGATATCGATGTCCGCTGAGGACCTCCATTGTCACACAGAGAGAGCAGTGTACGAGGTCAAACTGTACCAGTCCTGCCAGGAACTACACAAGTCACATGACTCAAACATGGCGGCAGGGGTCAGACAAAGGTCAACATCTGAGAATGGTAGAATGCTGATGGACGAAGTGGAAAAAGTAGAAGAAAATAAATCCAGGAGTGTCCTGGATAAAGTGAAGAAAACAACTTTATATAAGATATTCAGGTAGATGTTTTTCTAAACTGTGAGGTTAAGTAATGAGTCCCATTTTTAATGCTGGACTCAGAATTACAATAGCTAGATGAGTTTTTCTTCACTGTCTATATCAATGCTAATATCACTACATTTATTTAATTTTCATCATTGTCTGAAATCCACAGTCCAGAGTCGGTATTGCCTCTCATCGACTGTGTTACAATGTTCTGTATACAGTGTTATTTTTGCTCTTTTGCACTTGCAAACAATTTTTCCCCGTTTTAAATTCGCCCTGTCATAGTTCTGTTTAAGAAATTCTACTGTGTAATTTGAATTCGCCCCATTTTAAATTCACCCAATCAAGAAGAGGATGAAAGGGGCTAAAATAAAACAGGGGCAAAAATTTCCCTGTATACAGTATTTTCATCTGCAAAGTAGTCTGTATATTACAGAATGAAAACCTTTCAATAACTCTTGCTGAGGCCATCTTTAAAAAAATTGTTTGCCCTTTCTGACTTACTCATAATGACTCAGATCAAACTTTTTTTAACCTACAGGAAACAATTTTTTTTATACACCCCCCCCCCCCTGAATCTTGTAAACAAGTTTGTTGAAATTTTCAGAAAAAAAATTCTCATCTACTTGCTGATCCAATTCTTTTTACTCTGAGTTAGAAGAGGGCACACATTGACATTATTTTAAAGATGGTCAAAATTCATTTACCTGTTTATATTCATGTACATCAGCCAATCATTTCTTGATGAAAAAAGTTTTTGACATTATTTTAAAGATGGTCAGAAATTCATTTACCTGTTTATATTCATGTACATGCAGCCAATCATTTCCTGATGAAAAAAGTTTTTGTGTTTTACAATGTTTTTCTTCATGGTAAGGCATAGGGAGGTTGTGTTTAGAACCTTTTTTGTTTCAGCCATTTAAACATGATATACTCTTTAGATATGAATTGAATTTTTAAACTTTTACTTTCAGTATGCCTGACTGTAGAACAGCTGTTTTCCTGTACACTGTGTTTTCCTTCTCTGCTATTGGTTTTGAGGAAATTTTTACTGTCTGGGCATCTACTAAAACATATTATGGTATTATTTCTCCTACTATTGACTATTGTATAATATCAAATTCACTGTCAAACAACATTTTGTATTTTATGATTCATGATCATGTACCAATTCTCTCAGACCATGCAAAATTAACATGCCAGATTAAAGCCAATTTTCAGGAGTTTGGCAAAGAAAATCATGTATCGAACTCGAACATATTAATTCCATCCTCTTATATATGGAATAAAGAATCTATTATACATTTTCAAGCTGCGCTGAATAATAATGAAGTGCAAACAATGATAAAAGAATATTTGGAAGATGATTTAAACATAATTAATTATAGATCTGTCCATCCTTCAAACAGCTCTTGTAACGAGCATAAATCTGGAAGTGATCATGCTTTAATGAGATTTAATGATATTATTAAAACAGCATGCAACAAATCGTTAAAGACATCCCTTAAGGTTAAAGTAGGTGTGAAAAAAGATAAAATTCATAAAAATAAAAAATGGTTTGACTATGATTTACACAAAATGAAGTTAGAATTATTAAATAAAAGTAAATTGTATTCTAAATATCCTTTTGATCCGATTATAAGAGGCTCTTTCTTCAAGTATCGTAAACATTATAATAAACAATGCAAATATAAACAAAGAGAATTTAAAGCAAGTATTATGAAAAATTTAGAGACATTGCGTGCGAAGGATCCAAATTCATACTGGAAATTAATAAAAAAATTAAAAGAAGACAATGACGAACAAGACCCTTCAACAAGAATATCTCATGATAAATGGATATCTCATTTTTCAAACCTACTTTCAATAGATGAGAAGTTTACTCCACAAGACTTATACTTTAGAAATCTTTGTGATCAAAGTCAAAAGAGTAAAACCTTTTCACTCCTTGATTGTAGAATTACAGAAAAAGAGATAATTGATGCAGTAACTAAACTTAAAGATAACAAGTCAGCTGGCCTTGATGGAATTAAAAATGAAATGATTAAAGCTGGATTATCCCAAATAGTAGGATGTTTGTTAAAACTATTTAATATAATTCTTTCTACAGGAGTTTATCCCTCTGATTGGAAAATTGGGTACTTAAAACCATTATATAAATGTGATGATCCATATGTGACACCTCAAATTACAGAGGAATAGCAATTATGTCTTGTCTCTCCAAAGTGTTCAATAGTATATTAAATGCAAGACTTCAAACTTACCTAGATGACCATAAAGTTATCAATAAATGCCAAATAGGATTTCAACCCAAGGCTAGAACATCTGATCATATGTTTGTACTGAAAACACTAATTCAAAAATATAACTCCTCTAACTCAAAATTGTACACCTGTTTTATTGACTTTTCAAAAGCGTTTGATACAGTACTTCACTCGGCCTTATTATATAGACTATCTCAGATTGATATTAGAGGTCCTTTTTACTATGTCATTAAGAGCATGTACACCTTGAATAATTTACATATTCGAATTGGTAATAAACTTACTAAAAGCTTCATCCCTGAATTAGGGGTAAGGCAGGGGGATAACTTGAGTCCAAACTTGTTTTAGATATGGCAAGAAATTGGTACTGCGTTTTTAGGTGATACTTTTGTACCCTAGGGTACACCATTATTAAATGTATGGAGAAAAGGTTACAAAAAGGGTACACTATTTATTCCTACTGAAAACGAAAGTAGATGCTTCCCAGTGGTAGGAAGACTGTAACATCTATATAAGTAAAATTAAAAAAAATGTAGCCAATGCTCAGGGTACAGGGGGTACAAAGGGTACACATGGGTACAGCAGGTTACAACACTATAAGAAATGGATACAAGGGTTTAGAATGCTGAAATATTCTAAGTTAAAATTAAAAATAATGGAGTGGATGCTCAGGGCACAGTGGGTACAAAGGGTACACATGGGTACAGCAGGTTACAACACTATAAGAAATGGATACAAGGGTTTAGAAGGATGAAATTTTCTAAGTTAGAATTAAAAATAATGGAGTGGATGCTCAGGGTACAGTGGGTACAAAGGGTACAGCTGGTTACAACACTATAAGAAAAGGATACAAAGGTTTAGAAGGCTGAAATTTTCTAGGTTAAAATTAAAAATAATGGAGTGGATGTTCAGGGTACAGTGGGTACAAAGGGTACACTTGGGTACAGCAGGATACAACACTATAAGAAATGAATACAAGGATTTAGAAGGCTGAAATTTTCAAAGTTAAAATTAAAAATAATGGAGCTGATGCTCAGGGTACAGTGGGTACAAAGGGTACACATGGGTACAGCAGGTTACAACACTATAAGAAATGGATACAAGGGTTTAGAAGGCTGAAATTTTCTAAGTTAAAATTAAAAATAATGAAGCGGATGCTCAGGGTACAGTGGGTACAAAGGGTACACTTGGGTACAGCAGGTTACAACACTATAAGAAAAGGATACAAAGGTTTAGAAGGCTGAAATTTTCTAAGTTAGAATTAAAAATAATGGAGTGGATGCTCAGGGTACAGTGGGTACAAAGGGTACACATGGGTACAGCAGGTTACAACACTATAAGAAAAGGATACAAAGGTTTAGAAGGCTGAAATTTTCTAAGTTAAAATTAAAAATAATGGAGTGGATGCTCAGGGTACAGTGGGTACAAAGGGTACACATGGGTACAGCAGGTTACAACACTATAAGAAATGGATACAAGGGTTTAGAATTTAAGGATGAAATTTTCTAAGTTAGAATTAAAAATAATGGAGTGGATGCTCAGGGTACAGTGGGTACAAAGGGTACAGCTGGTTACAACACTATAAGAAAAGGATACAAAGGTTTAGAAGGCTGAAATTTTCTAGGTTAAAATTAAAAATAATGGAGTGGATGTTCAGGGTACAGTGGGTACAAAGGGTACACTTGGGTACAGCAGGATACAACACTATAAGAAATGAATACAAGGATTTAGAAGGCTGAAATTTTCAAAGTTAAAATTAAAAATAATGGAGCCGATGCTCAGGGTACAGTGGGTACAAAGGGTACACATGGGTACAGCAGGTTACAACACTATAAGAAATGGATACAAGGGTTTAGAAGGCTGAAATTTTCTAAGTTAAAATTAAAAATAATGAAGCGGATGCTCAGGGTACAGTGGGTACAAAGGGTACACTTGGGTACAGCAGGTTACAACACTATAAGAAAAGGATACAAAGGTTTAGAAGGCTGAAATTTTCTAAGTTAAAATTAAAAATAATGGATACAAGGTTTTAGGAGATTGGAATTTTTGAATCACTCGAAAATTGACTCCCGATCATTATTCTTTGAAAGTCATTATTTGTCTTTACACCAGCAACTCAGATGGCATTGGGTTTAGTTAACAAAAAAGGTGTACTTTTAATATTAGTCACTTGGGCTAGGTATTGGTCCGGGATTTCATATTGTACGTGTTATATTGCGATATTTTTTACTGTATTGCGATATGTATTGCAATATTTTCAATGTAATTTATATGGAATTTTCTTGATATATTTACTTTAATTTACATGCAGAATGTGCATAACTATGATAAGCTCTGGAATGTTCCCACAAAACAACTTCTGTCTTACTGTTTGGCTTAAGCTTATTTTGAAAAATAAATCAAGTCAAGTCACATAAAACAAAGACAGGTTGAAATGCTCACACATGGACATACACAAACGTTTTGGTAACTCGGAATTGTCCAGAGTAAAACTATATTTTCTTGATGACGGAATGTCCAGTACATCTAATGGTCAAGTCCGGGATAGTCCACGGCAGTTTTATCACACATACGCAATTATCATACAAGTCGAACGCTCTTTGAGGTTGAGGATTGACACTAATTCCTTAGATAAATACTGAGTGACAAATTCCTTTTTACTGTCTTAACTTAACTTGATAGGTAAATAATTTTAGCATATGTTAAAAATAAGCATTAGAAATAATTCTCTTCATAAAATTCAATTCTGTTACATTTCAAATGAATTTGTAAAATTAAATTTATGACAATTGTCTAGCTGCAGATCTGTAGCTCGCTAGCTGTTCTAAAAAAAAATTGAGATGGATCATCAGAGAGCTAATTTTGACACATGTTTGCCAATTATTGAAATCCTAGTATTTCCGTGCAAAGTAAAGCAGTTTGACCTGGAGAAAACTCAATCATCCACATACTAGTAGTTCATTGAATTTTCTCTTCCCAAACACATTCTCTCTCTCTCTCCATAAGAAATTTTGGATATGCAGTCGCAATACTTAGTTTCTTCCTAAGTCATCGATTTACCTTTCCTAAAGTTACGACATAACTTAGGAATATCCTAAGATAAGACGAGGTTAGTGAAACAGCAGGCATGTTCATGAAACTTTCCTAAGATTTGTCCTAAGACCATTCCTAAGATATGACTTAAGAAGAAACTTATAGGAACATCATAAGATCAACTTAGGACATATCAAAAGATGTATTTCGACGATGACTTAGGAAGATCTTAAGTTAGGACATCCTAACTTACATGCACACTTGTATCTTAAACATTTATCGATAAATGTATAATTTTGGAAACATTTTACGGGAAAGAAATTGCATAACATTAAAAAAGGAAATACATTTACATGTCCATGTGACTTCTGTATATTTCAATGTTTGCCTTTTTTCGCTATTATAAAATATTTAATACCGCTTGTAAATCGTATTGAAACAAACAAATTGTAGTTAAGATTTATGTAGTTTAAAAAATAATAACCTCGAGCTCTAAGTGATCTACATTCATACACGGACTGCTGAGAAACAAGAAATTGTCGCTTATACTTGCAATGTTCAAAATCATAAGCATCAAAACAAACTTAGGATGATCTTAGGACAGGTATTATGTTGTCCTAAAGTTAGGAAAAACTTAGGAAAGTTTCTAAATTGAGGAAAGCTTCGAGAAACTGACTTAAAACTAGGACATTTCCTAAGACGTTCTTAGGACACACCGTAGTCCTAAGATAGCTTCGTGAACATGCCTGCTGATAAGTAATGAACTTAGGAAAAAGTTCCTTCCTAAGATATAACTTAGTCCTAAGTAGGCTTTGTGAAACGGGCCCCTGGCATTTTCATCATGATTTCAAAAGCATGCACACAGTGCCTGAACAATTATAGTAGAAATACAGTGGGGCTTGTAAATTTAGGTTTGCACCAATCCAATATGTGGATTATGTTTATTATACCTCCGCTTGAAAAGTGGTAGGGTATATAGTAATTGTTATTTCCGTCTGTCCGTCCGTCCATCTATGTCTGTCCGTCCGTCTGTTACGCTTTGGGGTACCCATCTCTTATCTGCAACTCCTCTCATACCACAGAAGAAAATTTAATGAAACTTTCACGGAATCTTTATTACATATTGCCATTTACAGTGCACCTCTTATTTTACTTCTTGATCTGACATATATTTTGGATTTTCCAGAGCAAAACATGGACACAGCCATTTTATTCATATGGGAGGTGGGGGGTATCATTTAGTGAGCTCATTGCTCACAGTACCTCTAGTTTTTTAGCAGTTTTTATTCATTTCTTTCTCAGTATTTTGAAACCTAGCTAAAACATTTTCTAAAACATAATCTTATCTGAGGTTGATTGAATATCTTAATAAAAAAAATAATTTTCCTCTCTTTCTCTCTATGATTTGTTTGGCTATATTTATAAGTTCTTGTTTCCTGTCGCAAAGAAAAAAGTGGAGAAGGAGACATGGAGTCACTGATATAAATATCTATTATTGCATGTATAAAGTTCTAACAATATAAACCCATCAAATCCCCCCAAAAATTTAATTTAGTTTTCATAGTCTTTAAAAAAATGGGGAATTTTTTCACTTTTTTTTTTTTTGGTGTTAATAACTTAAATTTAATTCTTATGTTTGTAAACTGTCATTATTGGTGGACATATATGTACAATACTGATACAGTGGATCCCGCTTAATCAAATACTTAGTTTGTCAGCCTTCTGTTATCAGTATAGCCGAATATTCGAATAGCCGATTGCTCCATTTCAAGTCCAAACAAAGATATATAGAGCTACATGTATTGACAATACATCGTAGCAAATTTCAAACTTGCATTAATAATAGCATGTATCAAAACATATCAATCTAGTGTGCCAATTATTAACACAGGTAAGGTGACTGCG